GGTTAGAAGACTTGAAAACAATGGCAATGTTTCTGCCTGCCTCCTCCCACAAATATTATATAGAACCCAGCAAGAAACATAATGTTTTTTAAAATATTCCGATATTTTAAAAAAGAAAAGTGCAGTTGCAATACGCTCTTTATGGCTTTCTTTTGTTGTGGGATGACCTAGCCTTACCATACAAATCAGTGCAGGCACGAGAGATACCTACCATCCCATTTTAAACATGGTGCTGGTGTATGGTGTTCTTCGGTTACTGCTGAAGAACAACGTGTATTGGAAATGTGCTAAACAAACAAACAAAAAAGAGTAAATGAAATAAACGTTCTGAAAAAAATAAATTCAGTGCTTCCTAGGCATGTGATAGTTAAAGCAGCACAGAATAACCTTTATTCACTTGTTCTCATCTGAATGGTCAGGGAAATGCCATTCTAAAGAAAAAGAGCCTCAAATCCACAGGCTTGGTCCAATGGAGGTTAGGAAATCAACAGGACATAAATGAATGCCCCTTCCTCTTAACAACCAAAGGAAAAATTGATTGCTTCATCAGCTGTAGAAAGCAACATTTCCCAACCTAAATTGCTTTTCTCTTACTGCTGCTGCAGCAAAAAATAGCTCCCCTGCCTATTTTGTAAGGCTGTTGGCAGACTTACCAAAAGTAGGCTGGATTCAGCAATACAATAGAGCATTTATATATCAAAAGACTGGAAACAGGTCGTCAAGGTAAAACATACCATAAACAGAACTGTTAATTTGACTGTTGGCATGGCTTTCTGTTACCTTGTCAATAACTTCCAAGTAATTGTGTTTGAGTTGGCAACATTATCTTTATTATTATTATCATCATTATTGCACCTGCTGTTTAAATTTGATACATTTGCCTTACCAGAGTTGAGCTTAGACCCACTTTTGACTTGCTGGATTATTTGAAAGTCAAAAAGCAAAGAAAAGGATGCACCTCTAAAACTCTGCTCATTCTGTTGACAGTATTTTTCCAATGAATTTTCATAGGAATGTGGTTTTTTACTATCGGTAGCAAAATCTCATTGGTTTTGGAAGATGAGGGGCCCTGTGAGATAGTATTTGATGTGCTTTTCCATGCAGCCAAAAACGAAGCATCAGCTTATGATACCACAAATGCATTACTCAGTGGGCACAAAAAGGGATTGCATTATGAAACAAGTGTAAGCAAATTTTGTTTACAATTTTCCCTTTGCTGTATAACATTTGAATGCCAGAATCATTAGGATGGACCATGATGAAAGTGATGACAGTGGAAATTAATTGTGGCACAGTACATAACCTCCCAAACTCTCTGTGATTCAAGTCCAGCTTCAAGAATGGTTTGCAAGTAATGACTTAAATAGTTGTCTTAACAGTGAGTATTGGCACTGAAAAAGGAATACAACAGAGCAGAAGGAAATAAAGGAGTTTCACTTTCAGGGTAGAATTCACAAATGGGTCTATCCCTAAGATCTGAATTCAGATCTTAGGAATACAACCAAATACCCACAGACTCAGGAGTAAGCTGGGTTAAAACTAGTGGGACTTACTTCTATTTTGCATTTGTTGGTCTCTCTTATGATTCAGTGTGAGAATCATTATTAAGTTCCCACTAGAAATAGGCCATAGGGACATGGAGTATTATTTATTTATTTTTCAATACGTCAGCCTGCCTCCTGGCTGTGGATGCATAACAGTCTAACAGGCTTTCATGCGTTTGTATGAAGTTAGAATAAATAACAAACAAATTTCCACTTAAAACACTTAAGCACACTTACTTACACCAGCCTTCTTGATGTTCTCATCTTACACATCTCTGCATGCATCAATAGTAAATATCATAGTGAAGGAATTGGAACCAACTCTTAGTCCTTACTGTCTCTCAACTATATAAATAAGGAATCAAAATGACAGTTGCACAACCACAGCCTGAAGAAGAAACTTCCAGGGCTAAAGTTGATAGCACCTGTGAGCTAAATACCAACATTCTGGTATCAAACCCTAACTATACCATTAACAAAGGAAATCCAGGAACATCAGCAGTAAAGCTATGGATCATACCAAAGATTCCTTTGTAATGTGACAGTTAACAAACATGCATAAGCACAAGAAACGAAGCAGCAACAATTACTGTACAGATTCAAGGCCATTGCCAAAGGAAATCCAGCAAAGGCCTCACCCTAATCAGTGTTGGAATACAGTTTAAGCACGAGATCTGGACTCTGTACCAGCAGTTGCCATACACAGAATACATATGCTTGGACAAGAAGTGCTCTTCCTTTCAGCTAACCATTCTTGCTTCAGATACTGCTGCATATAAAGGGAACAGGCCCATAATAGCATCCCTTCATTTGACAGGAGGTCACTGTCTGAAACAGGCTAGGACTGCAGCTATATCTTTGCACTGATAAGATTCTATACATCCAGAACAACGCTAAATATAACAAAACCCATCACATTCCTAGTGTAAGAATTACACATGAGCAGCAGCAGAAAATCCACTCACAGCAGAGAGGCAAAGAATAAGCAAGTCTTTCAAAGATTGTGCAACAGACACACCACAGAGTCAAGAAGAGAGAACCTCAGAACCTAAATTTCTCACCAGATGATGCTGTTCCTCAAATATTTTATATGCTATACAGTTTACATTGTAACTATGTCAAATAACAGTCATTTTTAACATCTTTAAAAACTTATCATTGCAAAGAAAAGTTAAGAGAGACAGAGAGAGACAGAAAGTATTAAAATACCAATTAGGCAGTACTATGTGTCTGTCTGTCCACCTGCTTCTACTGTATTAATGAAATTTTCTGAAATTGCACCACAGTGGTGTGTAATAATAATAATAATATATTTGGTCAAAACCATTAAGACAAATTTGGAGATAATTATGTTGCATGCACAGGCTTTTCTAACCATAGCATCTTGGCTGAATTCTCCATCACACAAAAGAGTAATAATACAGTATTATAAATTAGTTACTCCCCCAAAGGCAATTTTATATGAAAGCCTAACAGAAAAGAATGATTGGATGAGAATTTGCTAAAAACATAAGAAAACAAAAGCCAGTTGATACATGGCCACATAAGTATCTACAACTTGATTTCTCTGCTGGGGAACAAATCTCATGTACCATCATTTACTCAAACTCCCTGGTCTCTTTGCTTGCTTACGAAGAAACTAGCCTATTTCAGTAATAGATTCCTATCATGAGTAATGATGTTTCCCTAGTATTTGCAATCATTTCTCACTAAAATGTTAAACAGGACCAATACGTTAGACCCAGAGACAGTCTTGTGTTTTCTTGTCTCTTGTTCTCCAGCTAGAACAGAATTTGTGGATGTCTTCTGGTTTATTGTAGACAGGTGATTGTTGAACCTGGTATTTCCACTTTATAATTAATACTGTAGTCCTACAGTATTAATTCTAGACGTTATTATATATTTTCTTTATTTTGCTCTTAACATTGTCTTATCTCTTACAAACATCTTTCAATTTAAATGTTTCTTTCTGGTTAGCAGGGTTTGTTCCTGTGCATTTTCTCATGTTATCAGCGGCTTTCATGCACTTATTGTCCTAAACAGAGAGATCTAACTTTAACTGCACGTGTGTTATGATAAGTTTCTGCTATTACATTGAGACACATAGAATTATCGATAATGTGGGCTTGAAAGTTCTTGGTTCTAACATTTTTATTCTATCATTCAGATGAAGGCAACCTCACTGCAGCTAGGGACCAAACATAAGTTAAAAACATTATTTTTTTTCAGTACTTCTGTACTCATATTAAAAACCCCTTTTAAAATGTAGAAGGCTATGACCAGTGGTGTCATTCCCTTAGCAGAATAGCATTCACCAATGGAACAGATCTTTCCTTTGTCCTTCAACCCCATGCACCCTAGGATGGCTCTTGATACTGTGCAGAGCCAAAGAGAACCCCTGCTGCATATGATTGAGGAACCTGGTACTTGCATAACTTGGGATGCAACTCATAAACAGTTCCTAAATAACACATTAAATAGCTGTAAAGTTATCTATGAAAATAGCTCTAACTTTATGACATTATAGGATATTAATACAGGGAACACAATTAGTCCGTTCATTTGCCAATTGTGTTTTTCATACAGTATTTTCTGTTTAGTAAGACTAATCAATATATATGTAACCTAAGTGTTCTATATGTTGAACCAAGTTGGAATTTAATTATGGGATGATGCAGTTACTATGCAGTATAATATACCATAGCACTATCTCAATTATATTCATGCAAATTATACCAAGTTTTACCTAGTTTTCTTTTGTAGCTAATGATTGTTACTCAGTTTCACCTAATCAGGGCTTCCACTATTCCTTTTACAAAACACTTGGTAATGCAGTTGTTATTCCCCTTCTTTCTCCAAACAAGAGTATGCATCACTATTATGACAGATTAAGAGCTATAATTGAATCATTGTTTAATTTTTCTATCTAAATGCTTTGCATCTCATAACATTCAAGCAATCATAGGTTCAGGCAAATAGAAATCCTATTTACCAAACACTGTAATAAGACAATGATTGAGAATTGCCCAGGATAATCATAAATTTCAGGAAAAAAGTTGCTATACACTGAATCAGATCATCTACCCATGTAGTGCACTGTTGTCTACATCCACAGGTGCCAAGTATCTGCAGAATCCAAGAACTAAATTTAGAAATTATTAAATGGCCAATAAATCATGGATCACAAAATCCCACAGGTTTTTGATGTTCACATAAAATCCTGTGAGATTTCAATGTTCTCCCATGAAATCATCTGAGATTATAACACTTTGTTATAAGATTTCAGAGGAAAAATGACCAAAATCCCATGAGATCTTGGAAGATGTCTGCCATGTTTTAATTTACTAATCAAGTTTATTTTATAGTGCCCAGAGTCTGGAAAAATTTGTATCGGCAGCTGTCCAAGAAATATCCATGGCCCCTGCTCAAAGTGCCTCAGATTGGACCAGATATTCTTTATATGCAAAATACGGTCTACTACTAATAGGGTCTAAAATAGGATCTAGTACTACTACTCATATAAATGATTTTAATAATTTAAATAAGAAAAAAACTAGTGCCTTTTTAATTAAAATCTGTTCACAGATAGATAGGGTAATTGAATACTCTATTCAATATATCTCACCTAAGAAGATAAGTTTTGAGTTGGCATAACTTTCCATAGGATTGCTAGTTTAACAGCATACTCTGGTAAGAAATGAGGTCCCAAGCATCCAGTCCAAACTGAAAGGTTGTTACATGATATATGTTTTTTCTATATATGAAGGCACTCTGCAATGGATCCCCTTCCCCCCCATGACAGAAATGATATATCTCATTGTTCCAGCCTTTGGGTCTTCAAATGCTAACATCCTCTTGACCAGGAAATACCAGACAGCAAAAATACAAATCTCCCCAGGCATGAAAACATGTTTATAATACTCTTGGGGAATAGCAACTGTGTTCATTTCATAGACAAAATCAAAAGAGAGAGGTTTGCATAAAGAGTGGATCAACTTTAAGTGTGCATCAATTTTAAGCTGGATTGGAAGTTTGGAGGTGAAAAAGAAAAAAAACAATCCATATTAGTTGTTGTTGTTGTTGTTCAGTTGTTAAGTCGTGTTCGACTCTTCGTGACCCCATGAACCATATTGCACCAGACCTTCCTGTCCTTCACTGCCTCCCTGAGTTTGCTCAGTTTCATGCTCGTTGCTTCAGTGATATTAATTGTTACTAAACTGTTTTATATCCGGGGATGATAGAATTCAACACAAAATATGATAAAATAAGGAGTTTTTAGAAATTTGTTGTATTCATATAGGCAAGTGCTTTCATTTTAAAAGAATTTTATTTAGCAATGAAGCTATTATTAGCGTGGTTAGCATCTGTTGTTGTATGATGTCAACTTCTACATCTAATTTAATGTTGTTTACATTGTGCCTTTAAATGCTGACTACACAAATTAACTACTTAGAGAAAGCTATGCTTGCTGGGAAGTAGAGATATAATTCATCTTACAATAATTATGTGTTCTATGAGCCAGTGCCCTAAGTGGATTCCCTACATTTAGACAGAGAAGGCAACTCTTTGTGAAAAGAAAGTTCAGGTGGAGTTCAGTTATAAAGAATAAGGAAACTAATTTTACCATGTTTCTGTGCATTTGTAAGACTGTTGAGATCCACATCTATCATTGATTAAGACTCAACATTACAAATCAGTTTAGTCACTTTTATTTCCGTAAGAATTAAGAATATTGTTTTTCAGAGCAACGCTATAAATGATTATTCAAAAGAAAAACCTACAGTGGGGCTTAATTCTCTGGCTGAAACCTAAGTCATTTTCATTTACCCTGTGCTCAGTCAGTCAGTGGAAATAAATTCTAATAAATTAATAGTTAAAAGTGATTCGCATCTTGACATAACTTAGACTCCCTCTGGAACCCTTTGAAGGAATGATGAATTCATGTAAGAACTACAAATTATCTATCTATCTATCTATCTATCTATCTATCTATCTATCTATCTATCTATCTATCTATCCATCCATCCATCCATCCATCCATCCATCCATCCATATCAGGGGCCTATTTTGAGATTTGTATAATCCCTTGGATGAAGTAAATTGCAAAAGTAGGAAGCCTCACTACATGTCCTCAGTTGCAACACTATACAAACATCTAATGGAATAGAAATGGCTTTCTCAAGTCACTATCTAATACTGCCACTTTCTGTGTATGAAAATTGCAACATACAGGCAAGGAAATTAGGTAGACCATCACCATCTGATCAGTTCCCTTTATCCCGCTTTCATAACTGTTGGAGATGACAAGCAAAACTCTCTCTGCTCCAGTAGTTCTAATATTCCCTAGCCTGGGATTACAACTCCAGAATGAAAATCTAGTGGCCCATAAATCTGATCATGGAGAGCACAAGACAACATAGTGAATAAGAGTTTAATAATAATATATTTATCCTTCTGACTGAAGAAGCATATATTTTTATATTGGGGGGGGGTTAGATTTTTTTTATCCCATCTTTATTATTTTTTATAAATAACTCAAGGTGGCAAAGATACCTAATACTCCTTTCTCCTATTTTCCCCACAACAACAACCCTGTGAGGTGAGTTGGGATGAGAGAGAGTGGCTGGCCCAAAGTCACCCAACTGGCTTTCATGCCTAAGGCTGGACTAGAGCTCACAGTCTCCTGCTCTCTAGCCTGGTGTCTTAACCACTAGACCAAAAAATAGAGTTACTCATTGTTAATGAAAAAAGCTAAAAATTCATAATAGTGTTTCTTTTGTTGGGGAAAACTATATGCTTTATAAGCAGCTATCCTTAATTTTCCAGTTGCATATATCGTATTAGAAAAATCCAGTTTTCTTAAGTACATACTTTCGATCATATACTCAAGCTGTACAAGGTCACTAGCCACACAAGGAAAATTATGTTTCTAAGGAATATCGCGCCACATTTCTAGATGATATGAACACATGTTTGTAAACAATGTTATACTTTTACCTCACTGTAGTATCAGCCATTCTTTGTGATGACAGTAGCATAGTGGAGTATTTTAATATTTGAACATTTATATATTTTGGCAATATATAAAATATAATGGAAGCATATCTATTATGTGCAATCATGTTGCACTTGTCTAATGTAGGCATTTCATAATGTAAAATGTTTACCTTTTTTTTCCTAAAAATTCAGTGAAAATTTTTAAAAGGGAATTGTAGAAAGGATAGAAAGAAGAAATAACAACTTTTATATTCATTATATTTAAAGATTTAAAAAGCAAGTAGCAATTTATTCCAGTATTTTAATTTGGCTCAGAAATGAATCCGATTGTGCTGAGTGGACTAACTTTCAACTAAATGCACATAAGATCTGGGCCAAAGTAGATGGGCAAAGATGAAATAAGAATTTTTAGCACAAGATAAAAAGAACTGTTAGCTGCTTCAGTTTTCCTTTTTTATCATAATAATGTGCATAATTTTTTAATTCAGAAAATATATTGCCCTCCATTTGATATTGCTTCCAAAGTCATTTATCTACCCTGAATTTATATAGCATTAAAAGCAACATTCATTTTGCTATGTTTTTGACAGAAATTAATTCCTAACTATCAATAAAAATGATCAGACTAAGAACTCTGGTTAATATTAAACTTCAAATGAAAGTGTTAAACATTGCCTGTTATCCTGTATATCCACGTTGTACATACAGACACAGGAGGTACATTCAATCTTCTTGCATCAATTACCCAGGAACAAAAGTAAAAAAATAAAACTGTACTTATACGAACAGATATCAGACAAGTGCCATGGCTTATCCACAATATTGACTAGGAATTTAAGTGCACAGTTTGCTCTTAAAATATTACAACACATTGCCAAGTTAATTTAAACCACCTTTAATGTTTTGGAGTTACTCAGGCAAAATAGCAGTGAAAGCCATAGGAAATGGGCACATTTTATAGCAAAATTAAGACTCCTGGCCCCTATTCTGCTTTTATTCCATTCTGCTAAAGTTCCTAAACTTGAACTATATTAAGCTATAGAAATAATTAAGAGCGTGGAGATGAAGGGAAAGCAGCCAGAGGTATTTTGCTGGAGATAATCAGGAACCTTTTCTCTGGCCGAGATCAGACCAGCATAAGAAAACATTTTGGTACAACTTCATGATACACAGGTATTAATAATTCCTGGCTTGAGGGTGCTAGCAGTAAACTATCTTGCCAAATACTTCATTGGGGAAGCAGACATACAATTTGGTGCTGATCCATAGTTACTGTAGGCTTCTTACGTTACTAGAAGCAGCAAGTAATATCTTTCGGAAGGCTCAGGAACAACGTTTCACTCAACAGATTTGATTGCTGGTCTGCCAATATTTCAAGAACAGCCCACCAAGAAATACCAGAATTCAGTATTCCTACAAGTTAGTAGGAGCAAACAACTCTTAAAAAATTGTCATTTTCCTCCTCTCTCTGATTATCTTATTTCAGGTTAGTTACTGTATCAGAGCTGAGTAAACAAAAGTCAGGATAAATAAATGAAATAATAATAATAATAATA